GAGAGAGAGAGAGAGAGAGAGAGAGAGAGATATTGAAGATTGTTGATCAACCGAGTGGCGTAAAGTCTAGAGGATTCTGAATTGGTGTCTGTGATGGTGCAGGTGGGTGCGAACACAAGCATTGTGGAAGCGAGTTTCCAAGCTCTGGTGGATGGACTGGAGTTTGGTATTGTCCACTGCTCAGAGGTCAGTACTCCACAGCGCAGGGGGCTGAAGTTTCTTTAGTATTTCTTTTCAGTGTACAATCCCAAACATATATCCCCCCAAAATTCATGGAAAATTTAGGAAAAATGCAGTGCAGCCTATCTTATAAAATAGAATAGAGCATAGCAGCGGCATAGCATGGTCGCCTTGGAAAATTTCGGGAAACAATTGCAGTGCAGTCTATCTATCTCTATCTTATAACAGAGGAAAGCGGCATAGCATGGTCTCTATCGAGCCCATGTCACTGAACGGGGTACGCAAATGTAACTGTCGATAAAACAGGTCAAGAGTTCCAAAAAAAAAAAAAAAAAAAAAAAAAAAAAAAAAAAAAAAAACAGGTCATGAGTTCACGTCCTCCGACATTCAGATGGATACAACAATGTGAGCCTTGTGAGGAGCTTACCCCGTTATTCCTTTTTTCTTTTTTTTAATTTTTTTCTATTTTATTATTTTACTATTTTCTTCTTTCCTTTTTTTTTTATAAGCGTATCATGGTCTCTACCGCACATGGGCAAGGGTCCAGAACACTCTAGAACACATTCTCGAGGTTGGCCAGACAGGTGTTAAGAACTCGACCATCCTCCCCTGTGCGAGGATCAGGGTCCTCGGTAAGGCCTATGGGGCCCTGTCTGCAGCCTTACCCTCCCTAAGTGAAGGCGGAGGTGCCCGCCCTAAGTGAAGGCGGAGGTGCCCGCCCTAAGTGAAGGCGGGCTGGCTTTTTGAAAAAGGCCTTCGATTGTCAATTTCATATTTGGGGTCCAGGAAGTTGCGACGTGCCAGTTGGTTGAAAGAAACACAGGCCGAGCAACAAGGATATTCCCACGGCCTACCGGGCCTTTCCAAAGAATGCAGGCCCTGGCCGTGATTCGCAGCCTCATACAGAGACAGTTGGGCGCCCAACCGAACGAGGCCCAGCAGCCCAGTAGCTGCTGCATCCAGGCAGCCTCCTGGGGCCTTCCGGAAGCTTCTGGGCCCAGGCCAAGGCAGCCAGACTGCGTGAGCAGGCCAACTCTTTCCATGAAGGAAGGAGCTCGGCCCTGGCTGCCTCATTCAGGCACTCGCATGCTGGGCGGCAGCGCTGCTGGAGCTTATGCTCGTAGGCTGCTGCTAGCGCTAAGAGGCGAGGTGCAGCACGTGCGGTCGTGCAGAGGAGGAGGGCGCCGCTGAGGGCAGCGCCATAGCCCAGCCACCATAGCTGGTGGGCTTGGACTACAGTGAAGCGCAGGGGTGGTCTTCGGGTGACAGAGAGGACAGGTGTGGGTGAAGTCAGGGGATAGGTGAAGGATGATGATGATGATGATGATGATGATGATGATGTGAGGGCACGTACCTTGCATTGGCGATGGTCTGCATGGGCGGCATTTTCAAGTACTTCGGGCTGCTGCTGATGTCAACAGTTGCATTGTCTTTTTGTAGTCTGTAGTAGCTGTGTAGGAGTAGGCTGGGCGCTGAGCGCCAAGTGTGAGTGTAAGGGAACTGGACTCTTGTGTTGAGAGGAGAGAGTGTGCTCTCCACGGACATTGGTTTTCAGTGCTACGAAACTCCATTGGTGTATTATTGGTGCAATGCTGCTATCTGGACATGGTGTGACTATTTGACTTGCAATGTGATGGTGTGATCTGGGATTGTCATCTCGCTGTTGCTTATTTTCCTTGCACCTGAATAGAAGGCGTGGCTATTATCATCGTACTTGACCTGAAAACTGCCCTAAATATGACTTGGGGGAAAGATAGGAGGCGAAGCATGCCGGCTGGGGCGCACGCTCGTACACTCAAAACAAAGGAAAAAAAGTTTGAAAAGAAAGGGACTTGAAGTGGGAGAGACATGCGGAGAGAGGCAGGGAGGGGGGGAGGTTAGTAGGTCGGAAGGGAGGGACTGGAAGAAAGGGACGGAGGAAGGGAAGGGAAGAAGGGAAGGGGAGGAAGGTGGGAGAGAGGGGGGTGGGAAGGGCGGGGA